GGAACTTAACTGCATGCCTCTCGTGTGGTAAGAAGTTGTATGTTAATATAGCACGTAATTTAAGTCTTCATTTTGGCAATTGGAGACATGTTTTTTTGGAATAAAGTCCAGGTAAATTCGTTTTAACTTGTTTATCAGGGTTTTATTAGGGGCTCTTTTGACTTCTCCATGTGCGCTCTGTGCTGCTGGCCCGGGTCAGACTGGATTGAGAAAATCAGGAGACTACACTAAAACTTAACTGACCTGAAACCCAACGAAGAAGACCCATGTGTGATTGGTAATTATGAAAATATGAGGGAAGTATGTTGTGGATCGTTCTGGTTTTACGCGCAATATTTTCGTTTGGATACGCCGTATTTTTCAGATAATTTGGTGGTGAAAACGTAAATTCGGTTGTTCTTCTATACCTCTACACCTTAAAACACAAGTGAGAGGGGTTTTTTCCCACGAGGAGCTGTTATCTTGCTGCTTAACACCTCCGCGAGACCGAGAGTGAAAAGTGTCAAACTCACCTCCTTCCTCTGCTCGGGCTGACGGCAGCGCGCACGCCAGCAAACATCCACTCAGCCACAAAAGTAAATCCATATCTGCTCAGTAATTAAACTCCACTGGTTTCAATGTCCAACTGTGTCCAAAAAGTCCTTTCCGGCGCACCGAGCTCTGCCTTCACCCTTACGCCGGTTATCTCCCTATACCGGCTCGTAGTAAAATCACGCTTTCAGCAGCAGCACCAGCAGCAGCAGCACCGTTAGAAAATGCAATGTCAATATAGTCCTCAAGAGACGTGGATCTGCAAATGAAAACGAAAAGCAAGTCCAGTTTCTCTTTTAAACATGTTTGAAAGCGGTGAGGTCCGTGTATTTACGCGCGCGGTCCTCCTCCCGGCTGCAGCACGCGTGGGGACCGGGGACCTCTGCACAGTGCACACCGGAGCCCCGCGCTGCCTTCTGGGGTAAACAAAGTAGAAAGCCACGGGAGAAGGAACCAGGATCTAAAGGAAAAAAATATTAAAGTTTAGTCCTCAGCTTGATCAATTATTCCCAACTGGCCAGCGCACGTCTTAGTTCAGAATTCAATTGTGTTTTCCTCGTAATAGTCCGTTCTTGTGCAAAAGAGATGTAATGTAAAAATGTTAACGATAAAAGCGCTGCGTAAAAGTGAAAAGCCACGGTGCACGCTCCGCTGGTTCACCCGTGCGCTCCTCTCCGTGCCTCTGTGCCTCTGTGCCCGTCTGCGCTGTTGCCTCTCCGCTCCTCTCGTGGCTTGTGACAGAAGCGGCTCCACTCACTCACTCCACACTCTCCACGTGCACGGCGAGCGGCGCGCGCGTCCGTGTCGGATTACAGTAGGCACCTCGTCCCGCCTCCGCAGAGCCCCGAGTGATCATGGTCTACCCGCTCGAGTCTTCTGTGGATTCAACAGATGCGCCTTTTCCGGAGGTTCTGTCTCATTATTGTCTCGATGTGATTGTTTTAGTCTTTGTCTCATCGCCATTATGTTGATCTAAACGGTGCTTGGTTTGAACTGATGTGATGCGGTTTTTGCTCGGTCAAAACCAAAAGCCTAGCATATAATTAACTTCAGATTTATTGAGAAGTAAAAGAACTGGTAACACTTTATAATCATCACTCTATTTACAAGCTTGATCATGAAGAAAACCATAATTCATAATAAACTAATGATTTATCAGGACTGAGTCAGGTTTAGAATGACTTAATTAACGGGTTAGGTAATTGATTAGTTACTAAACAAGAATCATTCTTAATAAACTATTTGTTCATTATTAATTAAGTCTTCATTTAAGCTTCATTAAGACTAATTAAGGTGCAATTATTATAACATATTTACTGTTATTGTAAGAAATTATTCTCATGCACTGTCTGGCTTTTATCAAATGAAAAACTGTATACTGTAACGCTGCCTGTGATACCAGATTGTAACTGTAGGGGGAGCCTTGATTGACATCTACTTCTCCATTAAATGTATACACATAAGACGACAATTATATTCACTGAAGTGGTGGATATTGATATTTTCATACAGAGTGAGTCCAGTCTTTGCACTGAGCGACAAAACAAATGATCTTTCTTGCAATGTTAACAGAATCATGTGAGTTTGTACTTGGTATTGTACTGTAGTAATTGATTTAATTGAAGAATCTTTTGTGTATGATGATTTCACGCTAGAATGTTTTTGTTTTTCAGAGCTTTCTTTATGATGAATCTGAGATGCCCTTAAAGATTTCTATGATAATACCTGTATAATTTCACAGGTTACATCTCCATGGAGACAAGCAGGTGGCCGACACTATAACAAAAAAGTTACATAGTGCGCCTCCTCTCCTGTGGCATATACCTGTATAACTTCACAGGTTAAATCTCAAATCTGCTTAAACGACAGGGATGGATTGGCCCGTGCAGCTGGTGTAAATCCACACACAGAGCTCTATGTACACAGCATTATTGTGCAGAGCAGGGCAAAACACTCTGCTCAAGGGCACGCAGGTCACAGGCAACCCGCATCTAAACAGCGGCCACACACCAGAGCAGGAGTGGAGCCGAATGACAATCAGGCCAGGAAATTCAACACATTTTAGATAGCCTATAAATGTAGCTTTATAGAGGCATTGGATTTCTATGTTTTCTTGTTCACAGCATGGGAGACATCAGCATCTTAAACTGGCCATGTTTGAAAACTAAGAAGAGATCAGAATATTAATATAATTTTTATAAACACCAACAAGCTTGACTAAATAACTAACCAATTAACTAACTCACGGTTTTCTTTTACCCATTAGACTTAAAAAAAAAAAAAAGTGGCATTTTTCATTCATACATTGTTGTCAAATGAAAAGACTTTACAAGAATAAAACTGCAGTGTAACTTTCCTGGTTGAGGGTCTATCTCCTCCTGGTTGCCATGGAAAGGTTACTGCTTTGCTTTGAGGCTACGTTTACACATAACCGGGTATGTTGAGAAATGAATATTTCCCTCCCTCCGTTTTCCAAAATAACATCGTGCACATAGCATCGTTTTCAAAAAGGTTTTCATTTACATCAGCCCACATAAATACACCACTGAGCGCCATCATAACTACACCAAGCCTCTGGGTGGCACCTGTAGCATTTATTTCATTACAGTTGTGAGTATTACTTAAAAATACCTTCAAAAACATGCATTACTGAGTGGGGTTGCCTCTCCACAGACATGTTACAGAAGTGGTAAAATTGCTGACCTCTGAGCCTCATTGGTCTCTGGTCATGGATATGAAACATCAGCTGTTTGTACAAATGCAAACACATGAAAAGTGTTTGCACCAGAAGAAATGCAACTGCTGCTCTGAATGTTTCCATGATCATCATCAGAGCAAAAGGTAAACATTGGTTGCACTTTTGGCTCGTCAGCTGCTAAAACTCCATTTATCTCACTTTACAGGCAAACGCCAAACCGTAGTTTTCCAGAATCTCCACTCTAGTCTGAGTTTTTAGAAAGATTAGTTTTCAGAGGGGAATTTGCAGTTTGTGTGTACAAGTTGGGTATAAATGAAGGAAAATGTCTCCGTTTTTAAAAATGTGTAGGTGTACGTATAAATGGGGCCTGAATGTTCTGCAGTATTGCATTAAATGTATCTATCTCTGTGGAGAAAAACGGGTGACGCCATCAGGCCAAGCTGCAAGTCAGGTTTGTGGAAAGGAGACCCTGCTGACTAAGAATGCATGTTTTTCTAAGTACTTTATATTCACTTTTAGCTTCCAGTCATATGCAACATTTTGAGAACATTTTCCCATTCAAAAGATTTAAGTTTAAATTGTTAATCACTATAGTAACAGTCTTAATTACTGAAACACAATGGATAGCAACAACACCTGCAATATAACAAGTGCAGAAAGATATGTTTAATGGCATTCTGGGGAATCACATCTATAATAAAAACTGATAAAGAGAGTTGTTTTGGTTTAGTTATTTCAGCCAAAAGTGTGAATCTTCCATATATAGTTACATCTTTTTTTTTATTGACGTCAACTTTGCGAAAACTTTCTTATTTTCAGGTGGAACAAAGTCAAATCCAGGTCACGAAAACTGCAGGAAATGAATCAACTTTTGGGATTATTTTTCATAAAAGACATGATTAAATTTGAGGCCGAAAGTTCAAAATAAATGATGCTGTTTATCATTGTAAATCCAATCTCCTAAGTAAATGTATCCGTATAAGGTTGCCAGACAGATGGATGGGAAGACATTTAAATCGTATGCATATTTATATTTTTTACTCAGGAATAGGCTAATGCAATATGTCCACCATGGAGCACATCTGGACACAGTTAAGCGAACATTGTGAGACATCGTGTAATAATAAAAAGTAAACAAAGTGAATATATGTATGGGCGAAGCATGAAGCTATCTATGCCAATCTGCGGACATGTTTTCTGCAGCATGGGGCTGAACTTAAAGGCTATATACTGTATTACTCTATTTTCTAATCTATATTATAATGTTGTAGCCAGGCTGGTGCCACCTAGTGCCTCCGCTCAATTTCATTTCTCTCCAGCGACTAGGTCAGGAATCGGAATACACTACTGGAAGCTGTAGACCGCGCATCGACCAATCAGCGAAGAGCTGTGAAGCCATGACGTCAAATTCAAGCGCTTGTCAGGGTCCCTTTTGTGGTACAGCACAACAGTAAACAAAGAGGTTGAGATGGATGTAGACGAAGCCATACATTCTGTGTTGGCAACGATGTCTGAGATTGAGGATTTAAAGCTGGAACAAAGAGAACGTTTGGTGAATTTTATCAAGGGGAAGAACGTTATTGCCCTTCTTCTTATGGGATTTGGAGCATTACATACATCATGACCAAACAGCAGCGATTGGTTAAATAAAATAAGTACCCGCGTACTGTTGAGTGAACAAATCCTAATGCTGCTAAGTCAGATGGTTTCCACAAAGTGAAACTGACTGATAAATCAGGCGAATAATGTTGTTTCATCTTCAAAAACATACCTGGAGTTGTGTTTTGTTTCATTCCCACCTTTAACACACAAATCCTGCAAATAGAAAACACTCTGTTCCACCTTGTCATGTCATGAGGTAATAGAGGAAGTGCTCCGCTGTGTTTTCAAACTCCTAATCCCAGAACTGCCAATCTCTACTGAACTCAAGATAAACAGCTCTCAATTTCAAAACTACATCACAAACCAACATCACAAGGTGGAACAGAGCAGTTTGAGCTTTAATAAAGGGTTACTCAATGTGTGAATAAAAGAAAACACAACTCCAGGTATGTTTTTGAAGAAGTAACAACATTTTAACAAGATTTAAAGCTCACAAGAGTCAATTTTGTGTAATATAGGACCTTTAATCTGACAGAAAAAAATGTTCTTTGGGTGTTGTCACTGCATTTTGGTTGGGATTTTCCATGTTGATGACATAAGTGGAGGCCTTCTGTTTTAGAACTCACTGCTTCTTGCTGTATTTTTGTACTTTTCATCTTAGCTTTTTTCCATAAACCTGCCTTTTAGAAATCTAACTCAGACAAGCATGCTTATCACACTCACTTCCTGATTCTCTGACACAAAAATGTTTCATAATTAGACACAGACAGCACGGTACTGACATATTTTGACCTTAAGAGCTGCTTATACAACATATCTGTACTGGGGCGAGACACATTTTCCTCACAAACATGGAAAAAAAAAAAAAAAACAAGTCCAGGCCTTTTTAACCTTTGCCTTCACGACCGCCCTAACATGACCTGATTCTGAATTATTGACCTGATTTGATTCTCATTTCCTTTATATTTCATAACACACCCACAAAACTGTCCATCTTTATTATCAATGAGGAAGCAGTGAGCTCTCAGCCCACTCTCACATCCTCTGAGCGGTTTGTCTGACCCAAACATTAGCCTCCAGTTGACCCTCACCAGGAGCTCTGACCGGACACTCTGCCTAGTGCTGCTAAGTGATGGGAGTCTAACATTTGTTTGGTTCAAAGACAGTTGAAAGACTCAACTGATAGCTATACATATTTTAGTTTTTTATTTTCTAATCTATGTTACAATGTTGTTTTCCCATCACAAACATACCTGGAGTTGTGTTTTGTTTCTTCTTTTGTTTGCTTAACACACAAATCTTGCATATTTAGGCTGAGTTCTTCCCTCAAACGGGAAACAGTCTGTTCCTGTTGTGATGTCATGTGGTAATACAGAAAGTGCTCCACTGTGTTTTCAAACTCCATGCACTTTCACTAGAATCATTTGGATGATTTCAGCTCTGGAATTGCCAATCTCCACTTAACTAAACGTAAAAGGTCGCTGTTATGGGGACAATCCAGAATTTTGGACACATGACCTCATTTCCTAGTGAGACAGAATGTTGGAGACCTGTGGAGACACTTTTTTAAATATTCCATCCAGTCTTTGTATTTGCAGAGGTCGCTGGTGCTAGGCTAGTGCATGTCAATGGCCATAGTTTGCCTGCCACTAAAAACAGTCTTACCCACTCCACAAAGAACCCGAAGCAAATCTATTATTACGCCAGGCTGTCGATGTAAATGTCTGTGCTGATAGAATAATATTTGAAATAAAACTAACCTTGGCATCGCATGAATCGTTGCATGTTGAGGGACTATTTTTTCATATATCAGTCCGATGCTGCCAAGCTTTCTATCAGGAAGTACAACTCGCTGCTGCTGCTCAGACATAAATCCTTCAAATGCAAGGTTGGTTTTACTTCTAAAATTATTAATTTAACACAGACATTTAAATCGATAGTCTGGCGTTATAATAGATTTGCTTAGGGTGTTTTGTGGAGTGGGTAAGACTGTTTTTAGTGGCAGGCTAACTATGGCCATTGACATGCACTAGCCTAGCACCAGCGACCTCTGCAAGTACAAGGACTGGATGGAATATTTAAAAAAGTGTCTCCACGCGTCTCCAACACTCTGGCTCACTAGAAAATGAGGTACAAAAATGATGTCCAAAATTTCGGACTGTCCCTTTAACTTGAAAGCTACCACTACATGACATCACAAGGTGGACCAGAGCACTCAGAGCTTTGATTATGTAGATAGCCGAAAAATGCAGGATTACTGAAACATCTGAATGGAAGAAAAGACAACTCCAGGTATGTTTTTGGTGAGGTAACAGCAGGTAATCGGTAAAAAAAAACCTTTCAAAAAATTTAGTTTCTTCATTCTTTTCGCGTCACTAGCACTGCTGTTCTGAGTTATAACATGGAGGAGGTCAGTGATATCATTAGTTTAGATTTCATCCCTAAACTCTGAGTTCAATCTTGTGCCCCAGATCTGCTCCTCTTTCCCTCACCACGCCCGGCTGTACCCCGTCTCATGTACACACTCTGACCATAATGACACAGGGCAGCCCACAGACACAGAGCTGCAGCCTAATCTCGTGGGAACAGCTTTACTCCAAACGTCACCGAGAAGGGACGCTCCCACCAGATCTGGGTCCACGTGTTTATACAGTGTGGAAGTTGTGAGATTGCAGTGGGTTTGGGTGGGTTTCTGGTACCTGTGAAGTGGAGCTTTGATCTTCTCTATGGTATGAATTATGAGGGAGGGGCGCTGAGTGGATGTGGCATTCTTTGTCAGATGGGGTTTCAGATACACTACAGATACAGTAAGACTCATTTCTGTATGCTGTATATTACTATTAAGTTCATGTTGACTGGAATTGATACTTTGCAGTGATATCACATGGGGGGGTTTACATGTATGCCTATGTTGGAATGTTCAGCAGTTACCATGGAGACACAATGCACACATTAGCAAATACTGTCAAAAAATCTCAAGAAACCTTTTCAGGAGCCTGTTACGAGAATTCATGGACCTAAGTGTTTGATTTTCAGCAAAAGGGTGAAAGTGACTAACTGAAAAACTGTTGGCTAATGCTGGCTAGCTTGTGACTTTAATTTAGGGTGACCAGATGTCCATATTTACCCAGCACAGTCCCAATTTTGAGCCCTAGTGTCTCCTGTCCCAACAGATTTATCCAAAATTAGTGATTTGTCACATTTTTAGAAAACAAGTGTCCCAGGTGTCCCTATTTTTGACCAATCTGATGCCTGCCAACAATAAAGGGAGGCATAAAAAAAACACATAAAATCAAATGTTTTAAAGTACCTATCGGTGTTGATGTATTGTCTTGAAAAGGAAAAAGGGGGCAGATAACATAAGATAACTCTTCTTTCTTTTTGCTCCTTTTCATTCATTTCTTGTATGTTTGATGTTGTGACACTGTTGATGTCTTTTTATACTTTATGAATGAAATAAATAAACTTTTTTTTTTTTAAAGTAATTTGTTTAGGTAAAATACAGAAAAGCTGCTTAAAAATGACCAAAACACAAAGAAAATCTGACTACACGGACTCACATGTTAGTCGTGAATGGGCTGAGTGCAGAACAATTTTCCTTAATTGCGCACTTGTTTCACAATTGTATTATTACCAACTACCACAAACCAGGGGTGTCCTGGTTTTTGATTTTGAAAATCTGCTCACCCTACTCTAATTTGAAAGTGTGAGGGACTTGTTTAACAGCACAAATCATCTCACCTGTTGTAATTCCAACTAAGTCAACTCTTTCTTGCCAGATTGTGTTAAAACAAAGCTCAGATTAAAGTCTAAGAGAGTCTCAGACAGAGCAGAGCCTACAGTTAGCTTCACACTCCAAGAGAATGTTGACATTTTAATAAATACACTTTTAGAAAGGTACCATACCACCAATTTGTTTTTCTCTAGACATTTCTAGACACTTGAAGGCTGATAATTTTTCTCATTAGAAATGTACATGATAACCAAATACTGTACTCAAGTAAGACTCGGGCTACATCACTATAGTATTAGTGCTCTGGGACATTTCTTAAGAGTAAAAAAGTATTTGGTATTACCGTATTTTCCAGGCTATTGAGTGCGCTCTAAAGCCTCCAACCCCATCAAAAAACGACTGCGCGTCCCACAATCCAGAGTGCCCTATACATGAATCCACTCGGGCGTCCCAGCACGATTTCATTAAACTACAAAGCCGCACCACCTGCAGCACATGCAAACACGCACGGAGCAGACAGCAACCACGCAGCCAAAAACACCCGCAGCCACACTCATCACTCCACACGGACGAGGAACGGAACGGAGGAACGAACCGAAAAAGCGAGTGCAATGTGCCACTTCTAGACACAACTGAACAACTGAGTCACTGCGAACACGCCGACAATCCAGCGGTCCCAGACAGCACCCTCCCTACACGCCACAACTGAACAAAGCCCAGAGTCACCATGAACGCCACAAACAAAGTCCCAATGACCACCTAACTGTTGTGTTTCGTTTAAAGTCCGGTGCAGTTTATTTGTGAAAAAGTTCGAAAATAGACTATTCTATGACAGTGCGCCTGATACATCCAGAGTGCCCTATAGTGCGTAAAATACGGTACAAGCTCTTTCAAGTGCGAGTAACTCCCTGGACATGACATCATATCATAATTTTAAGGTATTGCAATTGGAAAAACAAAACAATATATAAGGCAAGGCAAAATATACTACTCAAGTAGAAGTAGAAGTACAGGGAAGTACTTTAAAAACTGTATTTTTGCTTAGATATATTCATAAAACAATAATCTCCTCTAAACTAACATGCCATTGACCACCACCAGTTATCCACATTCCAGTGGACAGCAGTGGTCCTGAAGTTAAAATAGAGCTGTTTCTTCCTTATTTAGCCATTGAGCAGTGACAGGCCCACAAAGTGGCAGGAGCAGGGTACAGGACAGTGACAGGTGACTCTTAGTTATTTAGATGTTTCTTCACTTGTACTGGAGGTCTGAGGGTTGGGTTCGTTTTTCCATGACCCCTTCAGTGAGTACGTGTGTAACCTGCGCTAACCTGGGCCTCTCCAAATGAAACTCAACACGCCAGACCCTCCGCAACCTGACAACACGGCAATGTTCCGAATAACAGACTAACGCTATAGGACACGCAGCAGAGGAGAATGGGTAATTTGGCTTAGGTCAAGAAGTTTGTCTTGTCTAATTTAAAGGTA